TTAGTGATAATTGAAAATATTTCTTTGAGATTTCTGTCAGTTAGTTTCAACCATACTGTTGAGGTGACGAAGCTGTTTTTCACATCAGTTTTGTTTACTTGATGACATTGAAGAGAGAAGCTCATGTATATTGCTCTTTCCCGATGTTACTGGGGTTATCATTGCCAACTAGACTAAACCGAGTTTTCATCTATTTGGTTTATCATGTGAGTTTCATCCCCAGCATCAAGAATTCTACGGATATCTTTCCATACATGACTCTTATAGTGGGTGTGTTTCTAATTCCTACAACGCTCATTACAGAAGAAAACGTGATCAATATCACACTTACCCTTGCCTGAGACAATATCAAGATCAATTGGTATCTCTTATTCAATTCATCACTAGCATATCTTGAGAATTTGATCAACGTTTTGGTCATACCAGCATCTCATTTGTATTCCTATTAAGTTTTGTTCTCAAGTGGTCTTGTGACGTCATTCAAAAGCTTTGAACACTAGGCAAAGAGCCTCAATGATTGAGAACATCTGAGCAGAAACCATAGGAAATGATGAATGTGTTGTCAAATGTTTTACGAACATCTGAGCAGAAACTACAGGAAAGGATGAATGTGTTGTCAAATGTTTTACGAACATCTGAGCAGAAGCCACTGGAAAGGATGAATGCGCCGTCAAATGTTTTACGAACCTGCTATTCTGATGTTGAACCAATGTTACGATCATATGGTTTCCATTTATTGATCAAGTCTGTCTTCTTCCACCCCAAGATTAAATGTGAGATATAATGAAGATTTCTTTCCAAAGAATGGAAGCAGAAATTTTAACAACAAGAAACTAGTGGAGCCAATTAAGGTTGAACGACAAGTTGTTGTTAAGCATCTCGACATGATATGGTCCAAGTTGCCTTATTCGAGATCTGATTATATGTGGAGACATGAAAGGAATTGGAATAAATCTTCCTTATGATATGTTTCAAGAGTTAAATTGGAACAGACTCTACTCTCCTAATTAATCCCTGCTGAGTCAGACATATCTACATCTACACTCTTCAAAGATGATAGACTCTTTTTTTAAAGATGATAGATTCTCTTTTCAAAGATGAAAGCTTTATTGGATTTCTACACAAGTCCAAGCAAAGAAGGTTGGTTTTATCAAAGACAAAATGGGGCATCAAAGTCATAGTTCTGACTACGGCAAGAGTTCCATAAATGAAACATTTCTTCTGAGACTTTCATGAAGCAAAGAAGACGCCAAGATACAAGTTGATCAGATGATTCTGTAGAAATGCAAGCTTGACAGCATAAGTTTCTACACTGATTTCCAGGTAACCCTGGCAATAAATGATGAATTGAAGGAAGACCAAGTTCACCACTTTGAAGTCAAATGAAAATTGCATTAACATTCATGCATTCATAAGAACATCATTTGCACAATAGACAATGCATTACATTGATACATCTGAGTGCATTCAAACATGAAGCTTTACAGATCTTCGGAAGAACAAGAAGATTCATGGTAAGAAATACCTTACAAGAAGAAGGTATTCTTGTTCAACATTTTGTTCTTAATCAAAAGAAGTCAAATGAACAAAAATTTATTGTCTTTTCGTCTTTGCCCTATTCTTGTTAACACAAGAATGAGCAAAGAGGGGCAGCTGTAGACACTAAATTTTTACCCGAGCAGCCCCCTCCATCCAGCAGCCCCTCCACACATCATTTCCAGCAGCTTCCAGCGAGCAGCCCCTCCACGCATCAGTTGCAACAGCTTCCAGCACTGCCAGGTGATCCAACGCCCTGCTGCCACGCTGAAGCCTCTAGAAGCCAGCTGCCTTGTCCACGTTTCTACCCTATAGTGAGTCACCACCATAGTTCGGTGACTCACCGAGGGCCATTCCTTTAACTGGTCCGAAGAAGACACCGACGAGGCCTATAAATGGCCATCTCCTGCAGAGAAGAAAAGGGGAAGAAAAAAGAGAAGAGACACAGAGCCACGAGAGAAGAAATACACAGAGAACGGGAGACGAACAGAACGGGAGACAAGTAATAGAGACGAGCCACGAACCCACAACCAGCAGTAAACCAAAACAGAAACGAAAAGAAGGAGAGAAACTTACCGGGGAATCCATGACCATCGGATCCCTCCAAAACGCCGTCGAACAGTGAAAATACCGAAGGTATTTTCTTAAATCAAGGAAATTCCGAGGATTTTTAGGAAAAATGGATGCCGGATTCGGCCTTAGAACAACAAGATCTATATCCTAGGGTAATTTGTAAGTTTCCGGCCACCGTGGGCGGTGGCCGGCGGTGGTGTTGGCACCGGAGCAAGGCGGCCGGCCGATTGCCTTCATCGGTGAAAACAGAGAGAATTGTTCTCTCATTTTAGAGAGAAAGAAGAAAAAAAAAGAAATGAAGGGCTCAGAGCCCTTCTAGGCCGGTTAATGGGTTTATAACCCCTCCCCATACGACGTCGTTTAGGGGGAGGGGTGTGCGTGTAATTTCTATCAGGGGTAAACCCTGTCCGCAGTCACTATAGTTTGTGATCATTACAATTTAGTCACTGAAATTAATTTCTGATTATTTTAATTTAGTCTTTTAATTTTATTTTATTTTAATTTAGCCCTTATCAGCATATATATATTTAAGGTAAATATCAAATTTAGTCCCTCATATTTTAGTAATTCTTATTTTAATCCCGTATTATGAATTATGGTTAAATCACACTATTAGCACTCAAGTTTTATAATATTTCGAATTAGGACTTTAGTTTTATAATTTTACATTTTAATCATTAATTTCATTAGTTTGTTTTTATTTTATACTATGATTTTTAATATTTTACATTTTAATACTATATTTTTATTTCCTTTTATTTTAATCATTATTTGCAATATTATTTTATTATTATTATTTTTTATTGTTTTAATTATTATTTCATTATTATTATTTTATTATTTATAAAAATAAATATATATATATATATAATAAATAATATATATTTTTAAAATCCTATATTTCATAAATTACTTTTAATAATTATGTTTTAATATATATTTATTTATTTTTCAATATTAAGAAATGACAGTCTTAAAATAACTGGATGTCTATTTTCTGATATTTTTAAATAAATAAATATCCTATTGTTTTAAAATTATATATTAATTGTTTATTTATTTTTTAATATCGAAGAAAAGAGCTGTCTTAAGGCACCTAGAAATCATTTTCTGATATTTCTAAATAAATAAATATTTTATTTATATTTTATATATAAATATATTTTTTATATAATTATAACTTTGAAATAATAGGATTATAAATTAAATATATTTTTGAATTTTTAAATTTCCAATAATAAGAGACAATTTATAATTAATAAGTACCAATTTTGGGCGTTGTGGGGTGCTAATCCTTCCCCAAACGTAATCGACCACGGATCCTTTTTTATTTATAAAAAGAATGAATTTTTGGTTAAACGCAGATCAATTTATCTTTTAATTGATGTTTTCTTAAAAACTCTTTTAAAAGATATTTTTTAGGTATTCGACCTACCTGACCCAAAAGTCCGATGGCGACTCCCAAATTATTTTCAAAACCATTTATTCACATTATTTTTCACGCCAAGTAAAAAATTCGTGCCCGGACGAAAACCGGTTACAACAGTACCTTTTGGGCTTTGTAGGCATATATTATAGATTCTTGTTGTTTGTCATGAAATGGGAATATAATTACTTAACACTATCTGTATTCAAGTGTTGTTACATCTTCTTGCCGAATTTGTAGATGCATCACAAGGGAGCTGGCAGTCTCGTATCATCCAATTATGACCAAGGTTCAAGTTGGGCAGTTGAAGTGGGAAGCCATCTAAAAGTTTGCTCAATAGTAGTTGAGAATATAAACAAAAATGGGCAGATGCTTGTAGAGGTATGTTCAGAGTCTGTCTAGGTGCATGATACTGTTCCACCTGTTGACATGATTATTGGTAATTGTTCACTGTGATTTCATGATGAGTTCACTGCTTGGTCTATGCTATTATCTCACTGGTTATAGCGACAGACAGAAAATCAGGAAGAATTAATTGAATATAAAAGAAGGATAATCTGAAAATGACACCGTGATTGATTTCTGTTTGTTCTTGGTTTTAAATTTATTTTGTTGATCCATGCAGCTGTTATGCGAGGAATGTAATCATTTTCTTGAGATAGCAGAGGCCATCAGAAGCTTGGGCCTGACTATTTTAAAGGGGGTTACAGAAGCACGTGGTGAGAAGACTTGGATATGTTTTGTGGTTGAGGTAGACTTTATGATATTTTAAGCTTGGCCATCATGTGCTGTTTCCTTTTGTCTTTGCTGCTGTGTTTTCCATTTGATATTGATACATTGAACGCATTATAAGCTGTACCTCCGAAACTCCAGGCGTGCTTGAGTTGCGTTATAAGTGCCAAACCATCCATTCTTTAATCCCCTTTCAACTTTGTTTTCCATTTTATAATCTAACACCCAATTATGAAAACATTGCAGGGACAGAACAACAGAGTCATGCATAGAATGGACATCCTGTGGCCACTTGTGCAAATTTTGCAATGTAAGGCTACAAGCTAGCTGCAATTGCTTGTCACGTCTTGAAAGTAAATATATTGGCTCCCACTGTAACATATTGCGAGTGTTCTGTGATTTTAGATTGGCTTTATGGTTTTTGCCTCTTGTCTTTACCTTCCAATCCCCTAAAAGAATATCTAAAGCAGGGGAAAAGAAGAGAAAACATCCTTGAGAAACATTTTGTGAAGAGTTTTTGCTTCTGTTCTTCATAGTTTGTGGAAATGACATCTACCATTTTCTTTTATCCTCTCCCAATTTATATCAGACATCATCAGCTATTTGCAAGTTCTGATAATAATCCAATATGGGTGCCGTTGCTGGATATTCTCCAGCAGTTACTGCTTTAAACTTTGTTTCCCTAGTTATGAACATGTAGATTCAGCATTCACCCATTAAAGGAGCAACTGTACATGAGAAACAGAAGATTGGATATCATAGAATGTTATTTGCTAAATTACATACCACTTTATATTCGCATTCCTTAAAACGGTGATCATGTAGTATCATTGCACCATAGGTTTATTGCAATTTGAAGTGAGGAAGGCTTGAGTTTCCATCCAGACCTTTGGCCCTGAAATAGGCCATATATTCAGTGATATGAGTTTCTCGGTATATCGGTGGATTATGTTCCGTCAGAAGCTCTCTTATTGGTTCATATGGTGTATGTTTATTTGCTGTGCTTGGATAGAAAAAACATGCCACCGATACCCTCGGTATTTGTCCTGCTAGCACCCTATGCTCCACACTCTTGAATTTGTCATTTGTGATGAGCTAATAAAGGAGAAAAACCTAATTTGTCATTCTAGACTAGGGACAAAAGAAAAATGCTTGTGCATATTTTTGCATCTATGAGGTGTAAGAATCACTTTATTGTGATGATTATAAAGACTATACCTGAATGAAGTCACCAATGTTAATCACAAAAGCGCCTGGAAGAAACGGAACATCAACCCAGTTACTTTGATGAAGAACTTGGAGGCCTCCGATATTGTCTTGAAGGAGAATGGTCAGGAAAGATGGGTCTGAGTGCTTGGTTGCACCCAGAGTTAATTCTGGCTCAGGACAACCAGGGTAGTAGTGGCACACGAGGGATTCGGTTTCCATGCATCCTATATTGGCAAGGTATTCGCTGTGAAGTCCTAAAGTCTCCGATAGAAGTTCAGACAATGTTTTCCTTAGCTTGATCATGTGTTTTATGTATTCACTTACAGCTTCCCTGCGAAAGATTTTTTCTAAGTTTGCATCTGTTGTTTACACACTTGGTGATTAAATTGTGTTTCTCAAAGTATACCTGCATATTGGAGGAAAAAGTTGGGGATCAAATTGGCTATCATGGAAATCAAACGCTATTGAATCCCTCCAGTTTGCAGCTCCTTTGTTTAGAAGGAGATCGCCATTGCAGAAATACCTAACAGGCTGCTTATAATCTCTGGAGTACCATTTCATCTTCTCGTCCTTTGGCTGTTCATGGAACCGGCGTACGCCTTCTAGGATGCCGTCCATAATGCGAACAGGAACTCCATGGTTAATCACTTGAAAGAAACCCCATGTTTCTGACGCTGCCAGGATTCCATCCAGTATCTCCTTCCGTCGCCGACCATCTTGGAAGCCTTCCAGATCTATCACCGGAACTTGAAAACAATTTGCACTACTAGAGGTAGAGTTTTTCAGGCTTTCCAGGGGATGGATGAAGAACTTGGGAATCTTGACGGCACCAGAGTCTATAAGTCCTTTAACTCCTGCCTTAGTTTCATCAAAGTCCTTCACTTCCTTTGCTCTGTCATAACGTGAACCCTCTTCAGAAATCATCTCCAGTTCCATGCCAACAGGTAATAACTATAGAAATTGGAAGATGGGGTGATTTCAAATGGTGGTGTTGGGAGTATTGGTTGGGCCAATCCTGTGAAGAAGAGAAATGGGGGCCGAAGATGCTTAAGACTGAATGAAAAGGAACGGTGTTTGAAAGGAGCAGTAAGAAATGACCATTCATGCATGAGAATTGGTAAAGGGTACAAAAATTACAAAGATGCTGAATGAATTGAATAAATGACAGAACAAATACATTTGAGCTTATCATGAGAACCACTTGTACTATTATCATTATTTCTTATTATAAAATGCTGAAGGGAAATAAGTATATATATATATATATATAAATATAAAGAGGCAAACTAGCGAGATATCCGCATACGGCGTATCCTTGAAACTTGCACAATCTTTGACGTCATAAAGCTCAATATTAGTAGAGAGAGAGAGAGAGAGAGAGAGAGAGAGAGAGAGATAGATTTATCTGAGCCTTTTCCCAAAACAGAAACTCATGTCCTGTTGTCTGAGACTTATGGTTTCAAGTAAGCATAAGTTCCAAATATATCAGGAGTCACTTAGAGCCTTAAAACAAAACATGAAGTTTCAGTATCTCTTCATCCACAAATTAATTTCTTTTACTTAAGACATCTTTTTCTTTAAAAACGATATCTTTAATAGTATAACAATCATGAATGCCAAAACAGTAAGAATGAACTGTTAGGTGGAGACTGGAGTATGATTTGTTTGAGAAAACGAAGAATAATACATAATCTTTATTATATAAGTTAAAGAGAAAATTAAAAAAAAAAATTGGTGGAGGCTATAGCCCTTTCCACATAGAGTAGCTGCGTTTCTGGTTGGATATAATTTCTTCAAAGGGAAATATTCGCCAAAATCCAGCTACACACCATTATTGGATCAGATTAGTCTACAAACAACCCTCTTTTCATTTTGAATGAGCATCTCACATTAAAGAATATATATATATATATATAAAAAGAGAAAACGGAGAATGGAATAGTGGTGGTTTTGACTGCTATTGAGAATGACTCGAGTTCAATGCCAAAGGTTAAAATGGAATGGATGAATGAATTTTAACCTTATGTGTTCGTTGGAAATGAGGATAAGCATTCTCAGTTCAAAACCTAAGATTTTGTATTGTTTCATTGGTTCTTAATGGTTTTCCAGCAATGAAACAACTGGTTTCATTTCATATAGAAAAAGTACACGTCAATCTATTTCCATGTCCAACTTGTTTTCTGTGTATCTTATATGTTTAAAAGCCATGATTACATTATCAAGTTGATAATATATTATACGTTGCATGCAGATTGAAAAACAGGGCGCCCAAGGTTTTACGATTGAATCAAAAACCTCAGACCGTGTGGGAGGTTTTGTTTTCAGAGGTTTATGTACGTGAACTTTTCAATGAACTGCTCCTGTATGTTCTCGTATTGCGACTCAACAACTAAAAATATCCTCTTTCAGTAAGCATAAGGATCGTATCATAATCATTTTTAAATCACCACGTTATCATAATTGCATCCGTAATTTAAAAATATAACTATTTTAGAAAACAAATCATGTCTAACATCAACAACGTCCACAATCGCACACAATTCAATACTATGCTTCACATCACCATTTCACAACAATAATCAATACTCTTGGAGCCTATACATGTGTAGAGACGTAAATAAACAAAGTGTTCATTTATGTTCAATTACTAAACAAACAAGTATAAATAAATTTGTATTCGGAAACAAACTCATTTGAAAGCTCATTTATCAACTAATTAAACATAAAATGAAGTTTAAAGTTGATAGTGTAAAGTTCAAACATGCATGATGAACGTGGATGACGATGTCATTGGATGATAATAATGCAGGGTAGTTGTCAAGGCGTTAATGCAAAGTAGTTGTGAATACGATACTGCAAATAATAAATGATGGGAAGAAGGGAAGATGACCAAAACAATAAGCAACCAGGTAGGTGAAAGTTATGAAGAAGATTAGAACAGCATTTATTAATGGAAACCATAATAAATACATGAGTAAAGTACATAAATGATCACCGACTCGTGTTGCTTTACTAAATCTCTCGACTATTAAAAGTTACAAAATAATAATTCGATTATAGAGTGTTGTTTTGTTGAGTCTCTCAATTATTGAAAGTTACAAAATGGTTATCCGACTATTTATTATGTTTTAAACTCGTCATTTTTTCTTTAAAAATTGTCGGTGAGCTGAACATTAACCTAGTGGTTGTGATATGATAACTTTCGTTTATGTTTTGTCAATTTTTCCCCACTAATTTAAAAAAAAATATTTGGTCATCTTTTTTTATTTAATTAAGATATATTCACTGAAGATTAATTGTCGTTAAACCATTAAAAGATTTTTGACATGACTTATTAATAAAAATATTTAATTTTATTTTAACCCCTGAACTTTAGATAAATAAACTAATTATGAGCCTTTTTTGTAAATAAAAAACACTTTAGGGACAAATTTTGAATTATCCCTTTTTTGCTTTTCTTCAACCTGCCAAAACCATGGCTTTCCTCCACGCCGCACACCCATCCGTAGGTTTCTCATCTTCTCCGTTGCCGGTCAGTCAACTCTCAGGCTACAGTCGATAAATTTATGTGCAGACTGAAAGCTTTTGGTGAAAATGAAATCAAAGATTCGAAAGGGAAAAACTAACAAAATCCGACTCAAATCATCCGCGAATCGAACTATCTCCAAACCAAACTCCACAACCTTAAGGATCACGCTAATTCCGCCCAAAACCCATGTCCCAATTTAATTGTATTATGATTACATTTTCTTCTTAATGAAAAGAATTTTGAAAAAAAAAGGAAATTGATCCATGTTTGAAATTCTATTAATCGAGCATCGGAGAGTGATAATTCCAAACAAGCATGGAAAAGAACTGGTGGGATTATTCCAAAAAAATTCCGTGTCGAGGCGTTTGATTTCATATTCATCAAAAGTTCAGTCCGCACACGAATTCATCGACCATAGCCTCAAAGTTGGCCCGACTGACGAAGGAGAAGAAGATGAGAAACCTACGGACGGGGCCGTGCGGCGTTGGTGAGGAAAGCTATGAGTTTCGCAGGTGAAAGGAAAACAAAAAATGAATAATTCAACATTTGTCCCTAAGTGGTTTTTATTTAAAAAAAACCCATAATTGATTTTTTTAATCTAAAATTCAAGAGTTCAAATAAAATTGAACAATTTTATCAATGTATCGTATCAATAATCCGTTAAATGTCTAACAATAATTAACCTTTAGTGATTATAACGAATTTAAAATATAATAAATAATTAAATAATTATTTTATAAATTTTAATAATCGAGAGACTCAACAAAACACCACTCTATAATTAAAAAATTATTTTATACTTTTACCAATTAAGAAAATTAATAAAACAACGTCATACAACCGAACAACCATTCGTACACTTCACACTAAATAAATATTTGTGATAATAAAACTGTGGTGGGTAAAGATAATGATCAGATAGAGCTAATATCAACATCATCACAGCCATCAAAGCAATAGGGAAACATTCCATTTCTCATTTCATTCTCCTCATGCCTTATTTTTAAAAACAGAACATCAAACCATTGAAGATTTTTGAAGCAGAAAACAACTAACAAATTACAAAAGTGCAAAATTCTTTAAATAAAGTGATGAAAATAAAAATAGCTCACGTGAGATATATAAGACATTATTTTTTTTAACTAAGGTAGAATAATCGGATAAAAAGGAAACGGTCGGATTACGTAATGTCTCGGGGAGACACTTGAAAGACACTACATATTGTATAGTGTCTTTTAGTGGTCTCTCAAAGTGTTCGCCGTCGCGGAGCAAGGTGGCCAAGCGCTCGCCGGCTGAACCACCGTATACATCTATTAAGTACTTCTCCTCTCCTTATCTCAATTTTAATCTCCGTAAGTTTTCCTTCAATGGACGATAGTAAAACCATTTCCGTAAGTTATTGAACTATACTCAAAAAAATCATTTTGGTCATTAAATTTTAAAAATAATATATGAAACTAAATTAAAAAAGAATTTCACAGTATTCACAATTAAATTTTATATAAGTTCATTTCTTATAAGAGATTGAATTTTTGGTTTAAAAATTATTTAATTTAATATAAATTGATTTTTTTAGATATTTTAAATTATTCTCAAGTTATAATGTATATATGATATTTTATAATTTTTTTTAATAAATAGATATGAGAGAAGCCTCTTCAAACATTTTAATTGAGATGAGAAGAGCCGATTCTTAATGTTGCTGAATGTTGTAATATTTTACAAGAGTTTTGTTATCCTATTTTGCTACAACATTATTGATAATGAAAGATAAACACTATTAACACTATGATAAAATGCTTATAAAAATAATGGCATGTAATAAATTAACTCTATAACAACTCAATTACGACATGTTTTTATTGGTTGAGAGTATTTATCATATAACGAGAACTAACCCGAGGGTCTAAAGGATAGAAAGATTAATAGGATGACCAAACAAATAAGTATGTCATATATTTTTGAAAAAAAATCTTAATATAAAAATATTTAAAAATAAGTAAAATTAATATATATTTTTTTTAAAATATGGACACCCTTAAACATAAATTGATACATATTATTTATTTTCATCCGCATAAAAAAATTTCATAGAACTTTTGAAATTTGACACCTAAAGTAATTTTTTTAATTTGACATCCTAAAATAAATTTTCTAGCTCCGCCTCAGATGAGGTGACAATAAAATAATCCTTAGAAAAAGAGAAAAAGCATGTTGTACGAATTGATAAAGAACGAGCTATAATAGCATACAAAATCATCCATCGTTCATATTAAAAGAGAATTAATAAAATAAAATAAATAATATTATTCAGATATACAAAACTAAAAACTCAAATAACGTAATGTTAGAACCGGAAGAAAGGGAGGAGAAAGTTAAAAAGAAAAAAAAATAACTATCGACAACAATGTAGAATTAATGTAAAAAAAATAATATTAAACGATAACAAGGTTAATCAAATTAAAAGGAAAGAATTAGATCATGATGAAGCTCTACAAGTTGAATAATATGCAAGCAATGATTAAGTAACAAGCAACCCAGAAGATTCTTGAAAACCCTAATGATGGAACCTGTTCTCAGCTCCAAAATGTTCAAAGCCGGTTTCACCATGACGTGGTTAAATATATATTTAATGATAAAAAGATCAAAACAAGAATAATCAAGAGTGAGTAAATTATATTTTTAGGGAAAAAACTCTAATGATAAAAATACAAGTGAAAATATATAAACGATAAATTTATAATATATAAAAAAATTATAAACAACCCCTATTTAATTTATAATTAATTTTATTTTAAAGTCACACTCCTATCACTAATATAAATGTAAATCAGCAGATTTAGATGGAGAAAGAAAAAGAGACAAGGTCGGACCAGGAAGACGATCAATTAACTAGGAGCACGAAGAAGATTAAAGCATCATCTGCTGATGATGTAACCAAGGCTCCTGTGACCGTCTTGGCGATAGATATCCCATCGTCTGTTCCTGAGAAACAAGATGCAACGAAGCCATCTTATCGTAGCATGCTTGTGGGAGAAAGTTTAATCAATGGCTTCAAGGATGAAGATGAGTTTGGTCCCATTGATAAGAATGAAGGGTTGATAATGGTTGGAACTAAAGACTCTTGGCCGTCAATCTCCACGTCGGAGAAGTTTAGGGTCAGTCTTCAAGTTAGATGGGCGAACTGCTTAATATTGAAGCTTCTTGGTAAATCCATCTGCTTCCGAGCCCTTGATGAGCGGATTCAAAGAATGTTGATGCCAAAGGCAGACTACAAATTGATTGATGTCGGAGAAGGTTATTTCCTTATCAAGTTTTCCTCATTGGATGACCTTCGTTTTGCTTTAGAAGAAGGTCCATGGATTATTTATGGACACTACCTCACAGTCAGGAAATGGTTTCCTTGATTCCACCCCTCCTCGGCCACTATTGATTGCACTACGGTGTGGGTTCGGTTTCCTGGATTTCCAGTTCACTATTATAATGATCGGGTGCTCTTTGCAATGGGAAACACACTTGGACGAGCTCTTAAAGTTGACCCTAATACCAGCTATGCGTATAAGGGCAAATTTGCCCGAGTTTGCATCGAAATCGACTTTAGGAAGACACTCATCCCAAAAATCGAAGTTGATGGGGTTTGGTATGCTGTTGAATATGAGGGGCTCCCCTTGATTTGTTTTAGGTCTGGCAAGTTTGGCCATAGAGACTGTCCTCAAGCAGTCACTCAATCTCCCCAACAGGACGGCCAGGAAAATTCTCCGATGGAAACCACAGGTGGGCAGTCTGATATCAGTAGTGCAGTTAAGGAAAGTGATCCGGGGGATTCAGGGAAATCGGGAGAATACGTCTTTGGCCCTTGGATGATTGCTCAGCGTCGAAAAACACGGAAAGTGACCAGGAATCATGGAGATGGCAGAGACAAAGGAGATATTCAAGGAGTTGTTAATTCTGGGTCGAGATTTTCTCCTTTGGACGTGGATGCGGTTGACAAGGTTTTATCGATGGCAGATTCGGTCAATGCCCAGAATTTGGGCAATAATCCAGTCGAGTAATAGAAGGAATAAGAGTCAGACGGGTAAGATCTCAGACCAACCCATATCTTCGGTCATTAATGAACAGTCCAAGGTGGTGAATGGCAAGGGCCACGTGATTATTAATTCAATGCAAGGTGAAAATGTTATTGACGCCCATAGCCATGCACGTAATGGATTGACACAATTGGGGCGTGCTGCTTTAACCTCCAATGGTGACTTGGGTATGAGTGTTCGACATGCGACACTAGATCAGAATCCATCTGTTCAACGTAATCGGAAGCCGCCCGAACGAGCTGCTACTCCTTCTGATCCGAAATTTAGCGATATTCAACAGGGGATTCCACAGGAGAATTATTCTTCCATCGACATGATCATTGATGACGAAGCAAACGCTCCCCCAAGCGAGCGATACAATTTTGAGACCCCCCACAACCCTTGTCATTGAATATTTTAGCTTGGAACTGTAGAGGTGCTCGTAACAAGAATTTTTTGCGATATGCAAGGGATTTGAATGGTAATTATAAACCTAGTGTTGTTGCTGTTTTGGAACCTCGCATCTCAGGTCGTTCTGCTCAAAGTGTGGCGAAAAAGCTTGGTCTTTCTAAATTTTATATTGCTGATCCAATTGGTTTCGCTGGTGGCATATGGATCGCATGGGACGATCAAGTCCTCTATTTGGATGTGATTTATTCGTCTCCGCAAGTGATTTATGGAGTTGTTAAGCAAGGCAACTCGGATCTGTTTATGCTTTCTGTGGTCTACGCTAGCCCGATTCTTGAATCGCGTAGGAGAACCTGGATGAAACTTGAAGAGTTTGCTAATTCTAGTAATCTCCTCTGGGTGGCAGCTGGGGTTTTTAATGATGTCCTCTATTGCCACAAAAGGCTTGGTGGGAACCCTCCCTCGAACCTCCGGTGCCGGTTAGTTCAGGAGATGCTCTCCAGCTGCAATTTATTGGATCTAGGGTTCCAAGGCACTCCGTTTACCTGGTGGAATATGCGACACGGTCTTTCAAAATCCATGCACGCCTTGACAAGTTTTTGGCGAATGTCAGTTGGAGGTCTCGGTTCCCTGAAGCCGTCATTAACCATCTTCCCCGCTTACATTCGGATCATTGTCCCATGCTCCTCCAACTGCAGTCGAATTAGACTGTGACCAGAGTAACTCACCCTTTCCGCTTTCAAGCAATGTGGTTTTCCCTTGATAGCTTTCGAATCCTGGTGGATAATTTTTGGTCCTCTATGGGTTGTGATTTTGTTGAAGGGTCAAGGCAACTAGCTGCTAAACTGTTAAGTTGGAATAAGGAGCATTTTGGTAATATCTTTGTGAGGAAGAAACGGCTACTTGCTAGAATTAATGCTCTTCAGTGAAATCCTGTGCAGCTCCGTTCCCATCAGCTTAATATTCTGGAAGAAGATCTGATAAAGGAATACAATAAAATTCTCGAGCAAGAGGAGGTTTTCTGGTTTCAAAAATCAAGGGTTCAATGGCTACAATATTGTGATAAAAACACTCGCTTCTTTCATCTCTCCAATTTCTCGACTCAGGAAGAACAAAATTGTCATGTTACGTAATGGAGCTGGTGATTGGGTTACTGATCCAAATGAATTGCCTGCGATGGTTCGGGAGTATGTTGTTAATCTATTTACAGTGGATAATGCTCCTCGTCCCCCTGACAAACGTAAATTGTCCTCGCTTATCGTCTGAGGACCACATTACTATGACTAGACTTGTTACGGAGGGAGAGGTTGGGAATGCTCTTTTCATGATGAAGCCGTGGAAAGCCCCAGGCATGATGGGTTTCATGCTGGGGTTTATCAAGAAATGTGGGACACTTTCCGCCAGTCCCTAACATCAATTGTACATACGGCAATGACGACCGGTGCTTTTATGACTGACCTCAATAATACTTTGATCGCTCTTATTCCCAAAGTTCAAACCCCAGAATCAGTA